TGCCGCTCGAAACAAGGTAGACACCGCTCGAATGGCTATTAAGTCCACGGGACAGCTTACCTTGTTGTGTCATGTCTTGCGCATTGAGGAGAAATTCACAGCGAGGGTATAGGCAAAATGGTATATCCCTGGGTCATCTTGCGGAGTTCCCGGGCAAAAGACAATTCGTGGTGTGTTACGCAATGGACTACGAAACTTCTTGTAGTAATATCCACGATGTATTGCAGGCCTTCGATCGAGGTGCCTAGGCAGAATCTGTCACTTCAAGTTTACGATCCAGGATACTTCAGAAGAGGTTCACTCAGTCCGATCGTCTCTGACGGTACTCGGAGCTATTCAGTGTCCACAATGTGCCGCACGCCAAGAACACCTTGTCGAAACGACACGACTGAGAAGGTAGATGAAGATCCGATTTGGCTCCGATTGCAAAGTTCTTCCGCTATCAGTGATTTGCTCCAATCTCGAGAGGCTGCGTCCTAAGTTTGCACTTTAATGTTTTATCCGTCACTGGAGAGTCGCCAGGCTACATGTTCTGCCCACACCCCCGCCATCCGTGCTGGAGTTCTACCACGAGCCAATTCTGACAGACTGACTGGCAGAACAGCCGAGGACCGCCCACAACAATCACTTATTAACAACGTGTTTTCCTACATTGAATCCAGAGTTGTCCCACCAGCTTATCCTACATCATCCCACACAGACTATGCGTTTCTCCTTCCTTCTCATTATTGCTGCTTTGACAGCATCTATGTCTGTAAGTGCATGTAGTGCGGTTGATGAGAATTGCGCCGAAGATAGTGATTGCTGCTCTGGCCTTTATTGTGATGTAAGTACTCTGTATCCAGTATTTAACTCCATGACTGACATTTGCGCGTTATTATAGGTTATTTTATATCACTGCTTGGGATGATGGCTTAGGTGACAGCCTGACTCGCACGTCACGTCAGTAGGTCGTGTTCTTGCTTTCGCACTAGTGCTGTGGTTGATGCAATGTCGCACGTAGTTCGTTGCTTAATCGATCAGGATCTTGCTTCGGGACAATTTCACTGCCGCTTGCGAAAAGGTCGTTGGACAGGGGAGGGGGCTCAGACATTCAATATGATATATTGCTCACCATGTTAGTAGTGGGTCTTATATCGTACTATTTTCCACTTTTGCGGGATCGGACCTTGGCGGACGAATTTAAATCGGAGGTAGTGGCGGCGAACTCAGATCGAAAAAGGTGGAGATGACCTCTCCTTCAACAAACGATAGCATGTCTATGCAAAGCGATAAATGACGGGCGGACAAGATGTTGAACGAGTTGAGAAGCCCCCTTCCCAGTCATGGGAGAAAGGAAAACGCGGACGGAAATTCCTGACCATCAGATTCGTCGGCGTATTGAAACATAATGAAAATGCTATGATCCAGAACGCTCTGTAGCACAACCATAGCACGGCAGTTCAAGATCTTCGCCCACAGCCATGTTATTCAAGATCTCACACGAGAACGTTTGTCGCCTGGGTTTCGGGTTTCGGAGCAATTGGATAGCGTTTTGTGCAGATTTTAACGACATTCCAAGGACCCTCCCTCACGGGGGTACCGAATGATCATGATATATTTAAGGATTGGACTGGATCTCCCGTTCGTGCATGACCCCTGTAGTTCGTCTTTATCGCCGGCCAGTAAGCATGAGTGCACTGATCCGTGACTGCAATGATTTGAGCCCGATTTAGCGCTTCCTTCCTCATTCTAAGGAAACAATGGTGTTTCGGAATGTGCACTAGTCCCTGCAGTTCGCCTGTGAGTGTCTTGACTCTATGTTTTATTAGGACAGCCGTTCGTCATATCCTTAGGCCAAAGCCCTCCCAGATCTGGGAGGAGCTATGGGATCTTTGTCCTGTTCGGGGGCAGTGATCTTTATAGACGAAGGAAGACAGTCATTCCTTCTAATAAGGAGCACTGTATGTCATTGCGCTACCATAATGTTGAGATGAGAAAAAGGACCGTTGACACTTATTTGAGGGCAAGGATAAAATGGCAGGGTCTCCAAGTGGGAGGGGATGGGGAAACGGAGAGGCTACTCTCGGTACTGGAAAAAAGACACGATTGACTCGGATGAGCGCCACTGCAGCCAAACAAATTGCAGCAACGGCGAGCTGAATGTTATCAGGTAATCGCAAGTCCAAGTCAGTTAGCAGTAGTATGATCGAAAAGAGTCAAATGTTGACAGGATCTTTGGACAAGCATCCTATAGCGACTTTTAAGATTCATCGATTGATATGTCCACGAATGTAGTAATTCAAGATGCTCACAATTTGCTGGCAGATGCAATCATGAAGGCTTGTATCGAGGCGACTACTTCTGCAAAACAGTTGCATGTTCACTTGTGAGTTAAAGAGTTTACGGTTGCAGAGTTGGTACTGTGATCGGTGGGCTTTGCCTCCATCCGTGCTCGTCCGTGACGAACTTGCTTTTACAACCAAGACCATGAGTATATCGCCTTCACGTATACATATGGCAGCTTTATCAAATCAACAAAGCCATGTTCCCAAAGAGAGGTGTGCCACGGTGGAGCGGGACCACAACGTGACACGGAGCTGGTATGCACATAACTAAGGGATAGCTGTTTGCCGAAACCCGCTGTGTGATAGTGGGATGCTAGAAGGCTAGCATTGAAAGACAAGAGATAGCAGAGCGTACCACAATAGAGAACCTGACACAAGAAGATGCCAAAGTCGGGCATCTTGATACCATACATATGGGTGAGTACCAAAATACAACTTTGTGTGCCTATGCTGGGACATGCTAGATAGAGTCTGTGTATCGAGGGAAGACCTTGTCGAACCTCGATTCAAAAGAGAGCTCGATCGTGTCATTGACCAGTTTCATATCTGCATAAATGGCATGAGTATGAGTAGTATACCATCCCTTGAGAGACCCAGTATTACCTATCTCGCCTTCTGAATCCAACGGGATCGCTGTCAGCGCTTTTATTGAAGTCGCATTCACCACACTCCCCACAACCTCGATATAGGTGGCCGTCACATCCACATTCTGCGATCGATGATGTATGAGTTGTGAACCGTATTGTGAACAGAAGTGCAACAAGATCTGACCTTCCTTTGAACTTCTACCTGGCCACCGTCGCTCGCCTCGACGAGGGCGGTGTCATCTGCAAGCTATCAAAGAAGAGTGGCACACTAGAAGAGGAATGGTAGAAGTGGATAAACTGACTCGGAGGACTTTGCAAGGGAGACGGACAGTCCTGCCCTTTAGGCCAGCAAGACGACCAGCATTGACGCGCATTGATATGTCACTCATATGAGAGAATGGATTATGGTGCTCGGTTGAGAATCAGATGGACGCGTGCGCGAAAGCAGAGACGCGTTGCGTGGCTGTGTCATGCCTTCTGGTTGATGCGCAAATCCTGGAAGATACTTTCAAGTTGGCTACAAACTTGAAAAGTTCACTGTTCGAGTCTACATCACTGGAACATACAGAGCGTCTCGACACAGCTTGGTTCATAGTATATAGGCTGATCACCAGTCTACAGCAACACAGCTACTCCTGTGGATGACTTGGACGTATCAATTTTTACCATCCCTTTCGTAAGTATTGATTCAGACTCTACGTATGCATTCAGTGAATGATGGTTTGGTCAGATTAGCAAAGTCAGAGCGATGTGCGCACCACGTAAGTGGAGCGAAACGGTAGTGTTAATACGACGCGGTGTTGAAGCGGGCTGCATCCCATGAACCAGCTGATAGCTTTTCTCCGACACCCGCACGCATGTAAGCTAATTCGTTTGTGAGTTTTCGTGAGGATACCTGCACTTAACTGAGTTTGCCTACTGAAGGATATACTATAAGTTGACTCAGTACTGCACTCATTATAAAGTGTTGCAGCAGGTCGCAAGTCAATCCACCTGGACCCGCAAACAAAGCATTAGGGATCTACTGCTAGCACCGTCTTCCTTTGATTTTGTCTGCCTATTGGTCCAGGGGGCTAATGCACCATCAGAAGTTTCACACTAATTTCAAGTCAGTATCTATCAGCATTCGTTGAAGTTCTACCACCGGGGTCGTATCACTGAACACCATGATTACCCGTCTGTGCGTACACGTTGCTTCGTTGCGATAATGCATACCTACGATTCAGATTGCAATCTCGACATACGGATCCCTTGCTTCCTATGGCATTTCGGATTCCGAATCTGTTCCGCCCTTCGATTAAATGGTGTATGTAAATCAATCCATGAGTGAGAACCGACAATAATCTATCATTGCGGTAGTGTAAACATAGAACATCTCGAAGACTTCATGACTGCACATACATCTGGAATGAATAGTCAGCCGCTAAGGGACAACCCAGGTATTCCACCTATGCTAGCTTAGACTGACCCGTAGTGGCCTTGCAAAGCTGTTCCAGGGGATAAGACCGTCGACACGGTTAATGAAACCCAGTACCCTATCACATTCACCTACATCTAACCATGCCTACTTAGATCTCTATTGTTCCCGTACATGGATGAGGATTAGATGATGAGGGGCGATAATTTAGTCTAGGAGACCCATGTGTGTTACTCTCCTGGTGTGTAATCGATATCATAGTTTGCATGCAGTCACCTGCAAACATGCAGAATACTAAAATAGTAGCGGAGGTATGAGTGCAAAAAAAAAACTTACTTGTAAAACCTAACTTAATACCGTGGAGAGTGTAGTTTGACCATGGCCACTAGTCGTCCTACACTCTGTAGGCATTATTCGGATACGGGGAATCGAACCCCGAGCTACCGCGAACCCACCTAGATAGGGAGCGCTGAGAGGCGGTAATGTTAACCATTACACCATATCCGATATGTACGTACGTTACTCCCTCCTACTTACCAATAAGGTTCGCGAAAACGCGTGGGCGTAACTGATATACATAAAGAGTAACTTTCACCGAAGCTCAAAGTGGAAAGGCCTATGACGTGGATGGGGAAGATAGAAAACTTCAAAAAAGTGACTTATTCAACTTTCGGATACGGGGAATCGAACCCCGAGCTACCGCGACCAGATGAGGCTATTGAGAGGCGGTAATGTTAACCATTACACCATATCCGATGGATTACCTCCCCTACATAAGTAGTAGGATTCATAATGTGTCACATAGTGCAAGAATGAATTTTACATTTGGTTATTATTTATTTAGCTGACAATTTACAAATTGAATTATACATGTGAAATATTTCTGTTATGTGTCGAATATTAAACCGTAGCTTAGTCAGCGTTTTGGTCGTTCGTATCTCGGCCGTTATCTTACCCAACTTACCTTCACCTTCAAGTATCATGGTAATCTATTTTGAGACCTTCAACTTAAATGCCCAAGTGCTCAAGCGCTTACTGCCGTCTCATCACAGTAATAATTAATAAAGTTCCGCATTGATGCGCACATAAACAGGCGAATGACATTGATATCGTTTCGCTGAATACTAACGCCCATGTCTGTCTTCAAGGGTATCGCATTAATCACTGGTTCTGCTCAGGGAATTGGTCGCGGTATCGCTTTGCGGCTTGCCCGAGATGGCTTTGACATTGCTCTCAATGACATGCCCAACAAAGGTACCCAATTGGAATCGGTAGCGACTGAAATCGAAAGTCTCGGGAGACGAGTATGCGTCGTCCCCGCTGACGTGTCTGCCAACGAACAAGTCAAAGAGATGGTCGACGGTGCTGTTACCAAACTTGGTGGATTGGACGTTGTAAGTCTTTCTTCTTATCTCACCAGACATATCCCATGAATGTTTTATGTCTGCAGATGGTAGCCAATGCTGGGGTGGTGGTGGGGTCCGGCTTGCTTCTATCCTGTGCGATTTCGATCCTTGGGGTTGGTGATTTATCTTTCTCATGTCCCCCACTAGCGACCGTAGAGGCTTGGGACCATATATTCTCCGTAAACGCCCGTGGAACTTTCCTCTGTTACAAGTATGCTGCCATGCACATGGTTGAACAGGGCCGTGGCGGTCGAATTATTGGTGCAAGCTCAGTCGCGGGCAAATTTGGTACGTCCGATGACTTCACGAGTGCTTTTATGCAAACACCATACAGGCTTTCACAGTACTTGCGCGTATTCAGCGACCAAATTCGCAGTTAGAGGGCTCACTCAAGTTGCAGGTGACCATTGAAATGCTGCAGTGACCGTATGTTGACAGAGACCGCTTGACAGCTCTGGAGCTTGGCAAATATGGCATTACTGTCAATGCATATGCTCCTGGCGTGATACAGACTCCTATGAGTAATGATGAAGTAAAGTGTCTGACGTGGCAACTGACTCCTAATAGGCGAGGACGCGTTGAACAAGTCGAAGAACCAGACTACTGAAGGGGTCTTCGGAGATCCTGAGGCGACGAAGTGGATCACGTCGGTAAGTACAGGGCCGAAACGTATCCACCGTTATTTCTTCACACACTCGATTAGATATATGGGAATGTGCCCATCAAGCATGTTGGACAGCCAGCGGATATAGCTAGCATTGTAAGCTATCTTGCATCGAAGGAAGCGCACTTCATTACGGGTGAGTTCATTCATTCGCAACAGTTTATTTCTCAATCTCATTTATCTAGGGCAATGTGTATGTCAAGTTGCGTTGTTGCACAAACCTGCTGACTTTTCTCCCAGATTTCTGTCGATGGGGGAATGTGCATGAGCTGAGAAGAACTTGTAAACATATTCCTGCTTGAACACAGTATTGTTTTGAAAATAAACTTGAGCCAAAGATGCAGGCACAACATTAAGAACACTGATGGCAGCCTATGGACTAAAGTCAGAGTTCCAAGAACGTAGGTCAACATTTGTGCATTCTTTCCTGATTCTCCCTCGCGCAGGTGAAGCAGATTTATTATCGCCTAATATTAAGGCGAGGCACAAGTACCTTGGCACTTCCTGCAACTGTTTGTCTCTCAGGTTTCCGCATATCCTCATGTGAGTTTGAGGCGCGCTAAGGTCATCACTATATCATTGCGCAAAAACATAATGTTGTACCAGTCTTACTTACCAATAGCAGACTTGTGGGCTGAGTCGTGCACACACGAGGACAATTTACCGCTGTGCAGAATAATCATCGTTCCACCCGCCTTCCCACACAAAAACTGTTTGTTCCAAGCGATAGATGTAAACAAGAATACACGAAACGAGAATAAAAATAACTAGTGCGATAACGCCATCTAAGTATCCCGTCAGGAGAGCGATCAACCACCCCTACGCGTCACAAAATTCTGAGAACACAACAAGTTAGTCGCGATTCCATAATTACATTACATTTTCGAAAACAGCTGACTTACGTCCAAATCCTGCGACGTCGCCACAGCGAGCACGAAGTTTCTGCCATGGTCCGTCACTACAGCGCCCTAACGTCAGAACGTGCAAAATAGAAAAGAAAAGAAAAACAACAAGAACGCACCTAGGGCAAAGATATTATCTTCCAAAAAGTCAGCCAGTTCTGCGAGGGGCGTCAGAGGCGTTATGAGCGTGTACGGCTCGGACGCGCGACGATTGAACTTGGTCATGTATTTGCTGATGGAGTCGTTCTGTGGGGCGCGCGATCGTACATACGATGAGCCAATAATAAGCGGTTAAATTTATAGCTCGGATCGGGCGCACTGCGTACCGGCGACGCGGTGCCTGCTTCCCATTTGGCTTTGAGCAGAGCGACATCGACGTATCCGAGCGGTCGGCGATCGCGGTTGAGCACGCTGACGATCATGATGTGAGTTGTCTTAAGCGATCGTGAAATCAAAGGGGTGGATGGGTTACGTACGGTATGTGAGAGAAGTCGCGATCGTATGCTGCTTCCATGGCGCGAGATACTGATTCGTGAGAGGGAAGACAGAACGCAGGGGGAAGTTGGAGATCCTAGTGGGACTTGATGCGTTGGCTCATGTAGACTTGGTTTTGTAGGATTATGACACGCACCTCGACGACTGCACCGCGGTATTTGTCGTTTGGGGACATCATAGATGCTGGAGAGGGGACTGAGAGCGATGGAAGAATTGAGGTCGCCATACTTCTGGGTGTTTGTATGCAGTACAAAGGACACAGTTGAATGAGTGAGTATACAGTTAAGTGGCACAGGTTTAAGAAATGGGCTGATCCTGTCAATCAATCTCTTTGAAAGCGAAGGTCAAGCGAGCCGGAGACGAGCGTCATGAATGTCATACGCAATGGGAAGCTTTTACATAATTTGATTTTGAAAGCACGTGATCACGCACGTTCACATAAGTACTAACAACTCCTTCCCATTTTTCCATTATCTATACAAGTAAATTACAGCCCTCACTATCAACCTCAAGTCCCCAACCATTAAACCACTAGGTCTTCATTCACTTCGCCTTCAACGCCTCACCCAATTCCTTGACTCTCTTCTCCCACCCGTGCGACTCCTCAATGTGTGCCTCCAGTGCACGGATCTCCTCAAGGACGCGCGTAAGGTATTCGGCTGGTGCCGCTTCCTGGCCATCATCATGGGCATGGGCATGTGCATGTGCTTGAGGCGCATTTGTGATGCGGCTGAATGTCCAGCTCCCCGTACCGTCGCCCGAGAGCGTCAGGAGGTGCGTGTGGTACTTGGTTAGCGTAGGACTGCGGCGTGGTCAGCATGGGATGGAGCATAGACGAAATGGAACGGAAAAAAAAGAAAGAAACGCACCGCAGTGAGATCGTGATCAGCGTAATGCCCAGCGACTTTGCATGCTCGTACATCTGTCCCTCAACGTCGGAGGACACGGCGGAGGTGCATTCTGGATCGTTTATCAGATCTCAGGTCCGTAGATCAGCTGGGCCAGACTTACCATCTAAAATTGCGAACTTGGGACGATGGTAGAAAAGACGGGCCATGGCCAACTATATGTATTCCCAACGAGATCAGCACCACATCCCTTCAACCTCCCAAAAAACGCGAAACTCACCCTCTGCTTCTCCCCCCCGCTCAACACATCCCGCCACTCCTTCACCGTATCCCAGCCTCCCTCCCTATCCACCAAATACCCAAGATTAGCCGCACAAAGCAAGTCTCCCAGCTCGTGCAGCGCCTCAGCCGATGCGCTGAACTCGGACACGGGGTGCGGGTAGATAACCTGCGAGAGGAGCGACCCAGTGGGGTGGTACGAGCGCTGCGGGATCACGAACACGCCCGGGCGGCCGTCTGCGCCTTTGGTAGGACGTACGAGGGTTGAGCTGGACCCAGGTGCCCATAGCCCCGCCAGCACACGCGCCACAGCTGTCTTCCCGACGCCGTTCGAACCTGTGATCATGAGGTGCATGCCAGGGCGGAGGGTAAATGTGAGAGCGCGGACGAGAGTGGTGGTGTTTGGGCCTGAAAATGCGTCTGAGCCTGAGTCTGAGTCTGAGTCTGAGTCAGAGTTTGGTTGGCTGATCGTCTTGAGCGTTTTGATCAGGTGGTTCTGGGAGTCGAGTTTGGCTTCGGGAGAGTCGATCTGGGAGGCGAATGGATGTCTGGGAACGCACACGTCAACATCTTTGAGCGCGAAGGTATCCCCATCCCCTAGGAGTGCGGTGGGAAGTGGGGGGAGGTTATGCAGGGTTGAAAGGAGGGTGTAGATTCTGGTAGTGAGTAGGCAGCGATACAAACTTTCAGTTAAAGCATGAGGAATACACGCTAGCAAGCCACTCACCGCCCAGTCAATCCAGCAACCTCCTGCAAATCTTTATATGCATACATGAGTCTCCCACCCGCGTCGGCAAGGGAGAGGAGAAGACGGCGGTTGGAGATGTAGGCTGCCCTTATTTATTAGTTCGCAGAATCCACAACAAGGAAGCACGTACTTTCTGTTCGAGCGGCGACGACGCCATCTGCGTCGCGCTTTCGCTTTCGACGTCCAGCTTCTGCTCCTTCTCCGTCCGCAATACGAGAGCCTTGACCCTTCCTCGTTATGAGTAGCGGCACGGCAATTAGCCCGTACCCAGCCGCCGACCAGAGATACTTGATCACAAAGTCTTCAGTCCATTCGTACGCGATGCGGATCTAGAGATTGGAGAGTTTAGTTTAAGCTTTGAGAATGATCTCTAAATGGGAATTTTAAAGTCGGATCGGGAATGAAGAATGAAGT